CCCAACAGAATGCACTGGTTAAGCAAGGCTAGAATAACACAAACTTAAATGCCAAACTTTGTTAAAAATCTTTAGTTAGTGCTATTCTTTAACATGCTAACATACTGCATTGTGTCGCCATGGGAACCCGGCATGTATTCAGCTGGTGATGCAGAAATCACATAAGTGTGCTTTTGTGTTTGGTCTGTTTAAACTGCTTGTACTGCAGCTGATGGAACACAGATTAGAAAATGGATATTCTGCTGGTATTTATTACAGAAGATACTCAGTCAGTAACATTGGTATTGCTTTGATTTGGCCAAAAATTAAAGTGATATCCTGCATTATGGGACAGTGTCAGACCTAAACGCACTTCAACACAACATCATGTTTTAAGTATATGAAGTTGGAAGTTTTACAGGTTTAATGTGCAGCTGTCAGTTAGAAATAAGCAGCTGAATTGATTGTTAAAATAAATATGCGCGTTTAACAATTTTCTGTTAGCATTGCTGTCTTGCATCATTTGCAGTAGCAACACTTTTTTCCGTTAAAACAATGGTGCTAACAACCAAGCCACCGTGCAGCCCTTTTTCACCATCATAAATTGCGATATTCCTTGTAGATCTACATTAAAACAACCTGTTGACTGAAGTAGGTGGGACAGCATCAGTCTATTTTTTGCAGAAAGAGAGTCACATGATGCGTTAAATGGCCAATTTTATGTGAATGCACACAGAGAATCTAAAGCAGAACATCTGGTTGACAAAGAAAATTGACAACTACCATCATGATGCCTTATATCTGCCTGGAGCTTTGTTGAGCTGCCTTACCACGAAGAAAGCCAGGCTATGTCAAACTTTCTTCATGGTGCAGCCCTCAGTCCTATCGGTTGTTTGTTATACAATTACTGTACAGATGTATGCTGACACCTCACTTTAACCTCTTTTTTCTGTCATTTCCTGTTAGAAGGGGAAGGAGGATAGCACTCCTGCACACAGCAGGCCATTTTAGAGGCGTTCAGGTTCCCTTTTAGCTGGCTGTTTGTAGCACAGACAGGAGGAGACCTCTGCATGCATTGATTGGACTGTCACTGTAGTCGAGGTGTTGTTTTGGCTGATGGCCCAGGAGTGAGAGATGATGAGGTTTGTAAAACAGCACAACTGTAATTGCCTGGAGCTGGAAGTCGTACTATCGTTTAAAAACAGCTATCAGCGGCTCTATAATGTGCCTTTCACCTCTTTTTGCAGTGTCACAGCAAGTAAATAGTTCTGCAGTGTAGTTTGCATCACAGACAGATCAGATATATCAACTGTCACGCCGTAGGTCGAATGAAAAGAAAGAGAAGACACATGCTGCATGGGGAAGGGACTTTAGTAAGAATGGCTGCTGATTATTGAACTGGGCTGAGTCAGTTTTATGGTAACAGGTGATGCTTGATGATGTTAATGACTTGAATGTGTGTATAATTCCTGAACTTTAACCAGACAAATTGATAGCAGGTTGCCAATGCACCACCTGAAGACACAATACACGCTCATTAAACTGATCTTTGCTCCTATGGGAAACCAGACTTTTTTTGATCATTGTCTGCTTTCAAAGCTTACTACTTGGACTTACAGGCACCTACAAACCTTTTTAAAGACTTCCCAAGGCTTTGATCTTTTAATATATGAGTTTTCTTTTGTTAAACATGTTTAGTTTTGAACACATGTGCCCTAAAATGAATGTCAAAGTTCTGAGATTTTATCAGTGTGTCATGTGACCTGCTAACAGGGAGAGCAGTGGTATTTGGAGATTCAGAAAACCTGCTCAAACATGCACAAATTTATCCCTATAAGCACATAATTGACATTGAAATGTAGCCACAAGGATGTTCTTTCTCACAGTGTTAAAATCTAACTTAAATTAGCTTTTGTATTTTTGAGGTAAGCCTGAACTGATGAACTGAACAGTCACTGTCAAGCTGTCATTCACTGCAATAGAAACTGCACACTGACTTTCGCTCGATCCTCTGAATTTTTCAGTTTGCAATATTTTATTTCATGTCTGGAATGTGGATGCATGCTATAAATAGTGCTCAGCAGCTCAAACTCTAACTGAAAATCACAACTAAAAAACAGAATTCTTCACGTAAACACACCTATTCATTGACAAAATGTGAAGTTGTTATTTGTAGCAGCGGTGTCCAGTTATAGCTCTGAGTAGATTTACTGTCTCTGTGTCATCCATTCAGAAAACTGGATGAAGTTGATATCCTTTCTGTCTTTCAAATTTCCTTAGATCCTCAGATTTCCTTAAGAGCAGTCAAACGCTTGTCATGTTGTTTTGTGTCACTCCCTCAATTGATGCATGTGTTGCATTTCCTCTGACTAAGACAGATCAAATGACTAAATAGTGCTGATGCAGTCTTTTTTGGTCTATGAGCAGAATATAAAACAGGATAGAACATGGTGTGGTGACAGTGGTCACAAGTTTGATACCAGATTCCTTCTGCACATGTACTGATCTGTACAAGCTAAAGCAGCTGCTCTGCAATCAAACTTGCAGTTTCTCCAGAAATCGCACATTCTCAGTATTTGTTTTAGCTCTGGGCGGACATTTATGGCTAAATCCATCCAATATTGCAACTTGCCACTGTGGTGTGCAGAGTGGCTTAACGGTGTTTAATCAGAGCTGTAGATGAGCTGGTGTGCTCAAAGTGCAGCCAGTGGGGAGGATGAGGGGAGAGGGAGGTGGGGACATGATAGATTTGCACATTTGTGTTGACTGCAAAGTGGTATAAGTTAAAACCATTATGCGTCTGTGGTGTGTCCAGCTGTCTGTATGCACGCCCATATGGGAGAACAGTCCAGGCTTAATACCCCTGGAGTTACTGGCTCTATTTGAATCACATTGATTGTCCATACATACAATATGTATGCAAGCTTTTAATTGACGGACACTTTTTGTTTCTGTAGGGTATTCATGAGTACCCAATAATTGTAGCTGCCAAAAAAATCTGAACAAACGTCTTACCACCAATGAAATGAAAGCAATGAATGGAAAATGATGAGACTTGCCATCATCCACAGGAAACAATATGATGCTGTATGAGGTCACTGCATTTGACCTCTCTGTTAATGTCTTGGGCTGCAAGGTGCAGTGGTTAGCATCGTTGCCTCGCAGCAAGAAGGTCACCAGTTGGCTTTCCAGTGAGGACACCAGGATCTTTCTGCATGGAGTTTGCATGTTCTCCCCGTGCAGCGTGGGTTCTCTCCGGGTTCTCCGGCTTCCTCCCACACAGTCCTAAAACATGTTGAGGTTAATTGGTGATTCTAAATTGTCCGTAGGTGTGAATGTGAGTGTGCTTGGTTGTCTCAGTGTAGCCCTGTGATAGACTGGTGACCTGTCCAGGGTGTCCCCTGCCTTCGCCCTGAGTCAGCTGGGATAGGCTCCAGCCCCACTGTGACCCTAATGAGGATTAAGCGGTGTATAGATAATGGATGGATGTTAGTGTCCTTGTTTTAGAGTGATTGCCTCTAAACCAGTTTGCATCTTCATGCCGTGTTCCACAAAAATAGACATTAATCCCAAACCCCTTCATGCAGCATGATTAAATAGTTTGACATGTTTGGAATTATATTTCAGTCTGCTGTAATTTGAAATAACATTTTGAGGCATTGAAAGATTGGTTGCTGTCAACCAGATGCCAGCTGTGCCACCTCTGAGACTGTGTGAGGAAGGGTATGGTATGGAATGGACTGAGATGGAGGGCAGACGGTAAAAAGGCTGGGAAGGACTGTGGTGTGAATGATGGGTGAAGGGGAGGATTGTGATGAAGAGAAGAGAAGGTACATGGGTTGAAGGCACATTTGTGTTATGTGATTTTTCTGTATATGGGTGGTTGTTGACAATATATTTGTTGTTCAATAAATGTCAAAAATGGTTAAAGATTATGCTTGAATTATGTTCAATAAAAATGTATTTTCCTGAATATTTGACACCTCATATGTAAGCTGGACAGACATTTCCCCTGGTCATTGCTGTGCACATATGTACTGTGTGCACTGAGGCCTCAGGAGCCCTTCTGGGTTTTTATCAAACACAAAGACACCTCGTGGCACGGCGCAATTGTGAGAGCACAAAAGCTAAATATATCAAAATTCACACATGTGCTTCACCTCCATCAACAACTCCATCTAGCAGGAAACACTGTCTTTTCATAGTTGGAACTTCTGAATTTCAGAAGAGAACTCTCAAAACTCAGCAGCCAGTGGGGATGCACCTCCAAAAAAACCTGCCCATGCAAGAGGTTTGTTTTAGAACTGCGTATGAGTCAGGCAGTATGGACATTGTCTGGTTCAGAGCCAGAGAGAAAGATTCACAAAAAATATTGCACATGCTTTAGTTTTGTCAATTTGAGTGTATTTCTTTCCTTTTTGGGAAAATTGACTGTTTGACAAAACCCTTGTTTGTGACTGTATTCATCACTTGTTGTATGAACAGATGTTAGTTTCATCATTCATGTGGAGGATTTGCCTGAACAAAGTCCACTATTTAGACCAGCAGGAGCCTCGGGCCAACAACAGCAGCACCAGCCCAGAGTGGCAAAGGATGAGTGTGTGCTCTCAGACATGACGCCTTTACATTACATTGACTATTTTAATTAAGGCCTCTGCACTCAGAGAACCAGTTCTCTTTCAGGCACCACACCCAACACATGTACTCCCAGTCTGACCAGCACTGTGACTCTGCATACTGGTTACATATTTTACACATCATTCCAACCACAGCTGACACGTTTCACATTGTCAGTCAGTTCATACCGCTCAAAGCTGCTTGACAGGTTTTCAAAATCCCATTAACTTCATTTGTTGTCAACATCTGACCAATTGTATTCAAGGTAGTATTGAATTGTGGATTCTTTTTTTAAAGGTTGATGAGTTATGTTTCTTTTTTTCTGAGAGTCATCTGTGGAAATGCAGTTACATTAGCTGGTTGTTTTTAAGAGATTCAATTGATGCTTCTGTTTCTCTCTCCAGATATAAGCCCTTCTTCCCGTTCCAAGTGCAGCCTCCACTGGGTTCGACCTGTGATTTGGATCTGTCAGTCCAGGACAGCAGGCTGGTGGAAGGCAGACTCAGAGTCACCCTTATTGAATGTAGCAGGTGAGACACTTTAATTCCTGCTGTAACTCCCCAAACACCTTATTTATCTCAACGCCCCTGTTCACATCCTGCTGTGTACTCTGATCTGAGGCTGTGATTCCTGCTTTGTGCTGCGTCCATTTGTGTCATTTTGTGAAAACTTAATGTGTTGTCACGCAGTGATATTTTAGGCAGCTGTGTGCTTTGCAGCAACAATCTAGACTTCTGTTTTTACGGTATGCCCATGATGGTGGAAGGCAGAATCTTACAATTTTGGAGAACAATCACAAGGACAATCATTTAATCCTCTAATATAATCTAATGTGTTCTTTCATGCATGCAAACGGTTAAAGCTGCCTCTTGCAGGATGACGTCACATTGTGTGTCAGCAAAAGCTGAGCCAGCCTGTCTTTTCTGATGCCAGAACCTCCTGTGCCAGAATTCCCACTCCCTTTCATTTTAATGGAATGTTAATGGTATTTTATCCACATCATTTGGCCAGTAGATATATGCAGATCAATTTTCCGGAAAAATGCAAAGCATTTATTAGATGGCTATTTGCCTGTTAAGAATATAAAAGAATAGAAATAGAATGCATTTTCAGTCATATATCCTTTTAATTTTACTTATAAACACATTGACAATTTGTTGACATGAAGAATTTAGTGGATTTAGAGGATAGTTTGTAAAGCTTAGTGAAAAACAAGTCAAGTCTGGAGTTTTCAGTGTGTGCAGTTGTATGTATGGATATTATACAGCACAAAGAATGTAATGCAGAACCAAGTTTCAAAACCATGAATTTCACCTGGAAACCTTAACCTGTGAGCTGCTGGCAGGCTAGCAGCATGCCATGCGAAGCTCTGCTTAATCTGGTTTTTATCTGACTGAGTGAGTCACGCTATGGTAAGTACAAAATAGCACACAGCAGCCAGAAGACCTGCCTGCCTCTTTTAAATTAGCATTGTGGGAAAATTTCAGTTTCCCAGTGACCTCCAACAGGGTGAGAGAGTGAGCGTGGATCGACTGAGGTTGGTGTGTCAGTATGAGTGCAGAAACACATCAGAAATGTTAATGCATATTCAGTGGCATCACTCAGATGTGCCAATCACCAGAGCTTGGCAAAAAAAATAAAACAGACAAGCAAACAAACAAAAAACTGGAATCTAACTACTTATCCCTGATGCTTTTAGGCAGTCTGTGTAGAGTCCAAAAGTAGAGGGAACCAAAAACATTACCAAAGCAATTGGCACTTACATCTCAGCAGCTATTGACAAAACGAGAGACAAGTGGTTCATTTAAGTAAGTGAGTATGTTGCACTTGTCCTCATGGACAGTTTTATTTTATGTACTTTACACTTGAGAATAAACATTTCTTTCTGTTTCACAAAGAAATGTGGTCAGTTGGGTGGCTGGATAGCTCAACAGGTAGGGCGGGTGACCCATGTACAGGGGCTATAGTCCCCAGTGCAGCAGCCGTGGTTCGATTCCAGCCCGCGGCTCATTTGCTGCATATCATTTCCCCACATTTCTCTGTCTGTCTTCACTGTCAACTGTCATTAAAGGTGGAAAAGCCCAAAAATATATCTTTAAAATAAAAAATGTGGTCAGTTAGTTTGTTTTTTTCAGTGTTTTTGTTGTTGTTGCTTTCTCTAATGTACTGAAAACGAGCCGAACCATGACTGAAACCGAGTTTCATACCAACTGTGAGTTTTGATCAGCATTAAGCCCCTACGTGATAACTGACTGCATGCAGTGCTTTACACAGAAGCTAGCTGGCATCTGGCATCTCCCATTTCTGTGATTGTTACAGACTTTTTGATCGAACAGCATTTCAAAAAGCAGTTTATCTAACAGAATGGGCCACTTTATGAATCCTGCACAAGTGAAACCCCCATTAAAGAATGGCAACTTAACTCTTTTTTTTTTTTTTAGTTTCCATGTCATTTAAGTGCTAGTTGCCATTATATCTTTAAATCCTATAGAGTCAACAAGTGCCATTGTATTGGACAAAACCACACTCTCCCTCACTGGTCTCTCCATTCTGAAAGAAACAGCAGCTTGCATGTTTAAATTTTAATTGTCAAAGAATCAAACCCATAAGCTCAGGCTTGCTCTGATGGAGAGGTCTGTCACAGGCACAGGTGTGTGTTTGTGTGCGTGTGTGTGTGATAGACCACAGGATGATCGGATCAGGCTCATCTATTAATAATTCATATCCTGCCCATTATAATCATCCAGTCTCTCTTCTCTGTCTGCCCTCTTATATCACTTATTCCCTACAGACATGTTTTGAGGCACTTTTCTCCCTGTGCAATTTGAGTACGCCTCATTGATTTTTTTTGAGGTTTTATGTGTAAGGCACATCAGGTGTAGTACACCATAAATGTCCAGAAGGGGGAAGCATTTAGAACCTCATTGGAGATCCAGCAAAGGAGTCAGCGCCATTTAAGGGAGAACAACAACATGCCTCGCACTGGTGATGCTTTTCCTGAATCATTATGGTTTCCGTAAAAGTATACTGTATTCAGATCCTTGTGAAGTTGTGCAGCAGCTTCTCATGAGAGGAGATTCCCCTAATGGAATAATTGCCTCAGCACAGCAGGGGGCAGTAGCAGCCACAAATGTGTTGATGTCATCTTGGCTTTCCGGTACACAGATATGCAATAATATTTCTATACAACAGTGGGTTAATGTGGAATAATTGGTAGTGGATAATTAGAGCTGAAGTAATTAATTCAGCGGTCAAGTTCATCAGCACAGAACCATCCTGCAATAAATCCACCAATAAATCATGTTTCTAATGTTCAGTATTTGAACTTTTGTAGAGAAGGTTTAAATTCTGTGGTTACTTTCATGATTTTACTTAGTGCATTTTATTTACTTTGTCCAGCCAATGTTCAGCGAGGGCAAGCAAAACAACAGAAAGAAATCCTCCAAAATAACCAGACTGTTGACAGTTTTAACAAGTGAACATTAGAATCGTCATGAAGGGAGGATTTATTGCAGGGAAGTTGTGTTAGACTGCATGTAGTTGTACTTAATGTGATAACCAAGTGTATGTGTTTGGATTTTTTTTTTTTTTGAAATTGGTTAAAGTTGTTAATAAATATGCAACAAACAATGTTCTGTGGTTTGAACAAATTTGATGGTCAGTAACCAAACAATCCAAATGACTCATCAGATTGGTTTCAAATGATTGGTGCAACATAATGCATTACATCAAATATTCCCATCGCTTTTAAGACATCTCTTTGGGACAAGAAACACAAGGATTTGACAGATTTCACTTTATTAGTGCTTCTAAATGCCTTAATCACAGTTGCTGTCGTTCTCACCTGTCCTGTGTGTCCCCCTGCAGACTCTTCATCCTGGGCTCCTATGACAGAGAAACCTATGTTCACTGCACTCTGGAGCTGAGCAGCCACCAGTGGAAGGAGAAGACCCGCAGCTCCATCAAACGGGTGGGTTTTTTATTTTTATTTTTTTCCTTTTAACCTTCCATCCTAGTTTTTCCTCTGGTTCCTCTGGCTTAGCACTGTTGTACACTAAATTATGCTTCAAGTGCAGGAAAATAGATTTGTTCTGCATGAACACTGTGCCACACAAAGCATATCACACAGGTCAGAAATGACCAAAAAGTCCAAATACTGGGATATGGAATCTGTGTATTTCAGGTAAAATTAGAACATAATGCTGATTTGGTATTGATACATCTAAGGAACGAGACTGGCTGATGTGTCAGATGCACCAGCACCACACTCGATTGACTGATGGGGTGTGTAGTGTGCTCACTCTGTACAGCCAGGAGCTGTTTAGATAAGATAAGATAAGATAAGATAAGATATGCCTTTATTTATCTCACAGTGGAGAAATTCACATTGTTGATAGCAGCATTCAACAGAGGTACACATATACGAGACAGGAAAAATAAAAAATAAGAAATGTTTAGCCACTGTTTCTTGTTTTACTTCTGCCTTGGATATGTTACTAGATCTGTCTCATCTCAGTACTTAAGCTACAAAAAAGTCACCGATGTGTGCTTTTTGTTATTCCAACAGGTTTTTAGAAATATTCAAAGTAAAACGTCTTTTGACATCACAACATTTTCCTCACCACACAAAAATCTATAAACAGTGAGATTGCTGATAGAAACCCTCGTCCAATATCAGAATTTGGTGGGACCTGACTGTAACAACTGTCCATGCAGTCCTACATACATTTCAAGAGAGAGTACCTGACTGATCTTCTTCATTCTGAGCCTTTACACTCACCAGCTGCAGTCCACTATCCAAACAGCAGAGGGTGCTGCTTCACCATCCTATAAGGAGCGGTCCCAGCATCCATAAACTGTGTCTTGAGGCTGTTTTAACAAGCAATGAATTGGTTTGATTTCTTCACACTTGTGGCCAGAGGACTGAGATAACCAAAGAGATGTGATGTTCCAGCTGCTTGAGCAGTTGTGCAGCAGTAAATATGTATTGGTGAAAATTGTAATACCAAGTTATGTCAATAAATGCATGATTAATCTGGAACAATTCTGTTTCCAACAACAGAGCCTCAAAACTGTGTTTAAAAACGGAGCTTTTCCAGCACTCAGATTTGTAACAAATGCTTCCTCTGCAGATGCTGCATATTGGACACCTTGTCATACTGACACATTAATATAAGCTTATTTTCATCTTCCTTGCACTGATGAGATTATTCCGTTGTTGACATTTTGAGCGGCAAAGAAAATTTTCAGGCCCCTCTGGCAAACCTTTTCTAATTGCTGCAATTTAGAGATATTACAGTTATCACATCAGGCTTGTTTGGAAGTGACTAATGACCGTTTTAGAGGGAAATGTCAGTCCTAATTACCGGCTCTGGCTCCAGCAAAGGCTGATGCCGCTATCCTTGCCACACACTTCTGAATGACATTTGCAATGGCCCAAAGATTATTTGTATTGTGTGGAACAGTAATTGGCCTGTACCGTTTTCGTGTTATGTTTAATGACTGTGGAGTTGGAGGAGTTGATTCCTCGTCCAGCAGGGGGCAGTGAAATATTAGAACTAACCACCATGTCTTCCATTTCTCTCCTTCAAAAACAGTATTTACACAATAGCTGCCCCAGGTTTCTTTTTTAATAGTTTCGGAGGTGTGACTTAACATTCTGCAAATGCAAATTTAAATGATGCACATTTGTTTATTTGTCAGATTTAATTTGTTATAAAATGTAACACTTAAATCTAAATTGCAGGTTTAGGAGATTTCAAATTAAAACCACAGGCAGTGTATCATAGGGATGTTGATTCTCGTGTTTTTGTAGATCTAGTAGTCATGTATTGGATCATGATATTCTAGATTAAATAATAGTACAGAGAAGAAGTCTGCCACTGTAGCCTTTATATTAGTCAACTGATAATAACAGTGATAAATTATATACCACCCCGACACACCAGAATGCTGGCCTAATCAGTCTGTTCTAACTGTGACTTTCTGTCATTGCTTGTGTGACATTTGACAGCTACTGTGTAATATGGGTAAATACAACCTTTATTCAGAATGTTTGGGGCGTGTTGCGCCTTTAGCTGCAACACTGAGTCAGTTCATTGATTAATTGATTGTAGGAAAACTGTTTTGATAGTCGTTGATTTTGTAGGTCATTTTAGGGAAACTGAGAGAAACATTTGATTGGATGCTGAGAATGTCCTGATTTTCCTTGTCTTCCAGGTTTGTACATTAAAGATGTGCTGATCAGACAAATTAAGGCATTTGATGATGTCTCTTTGGGCTCCAAAAAGTTCTAACTTTTTTTATTTTATTTCTTTAAAAAAATTTTTTTTTACAGTTTATTTTGTTTTTTAGGTTTATAGATCTAACAACTATTCACTTGCTTGCAAAAATAATGTAAAGATGCAGTCCTGTTTGTCTTGTAGAGATAAAGAACAGAGGACGTCACTGTTCAAATTACTATTTTATAAAATGCTGACAGTCAAAGGCCTTAATATGCATTATTTCAGTCTGTATGACAGAAATTTATCCCTGTGTGATTATCCTGTATTTATTAAATTCATATTGGTGCCAAACCATATTAGCACCATTTCACTGTTGTAGCTGGTCATAATGGGGCTAGTTTTAATTACTTTAAATACCTTTGGCTTGTTTAATGTGCAACAGTACATCACATTTCATTTTTGGTATGCAAAATTGTAATCGGCAATGGAACATGTTGATATGAGACACATTAATGAAGTATTTTAAGTATATTGACATGTCAAGGTGCAGAACTTGATTGAGCAATCATGGATCTTCTGGTTTGCTTTGTGCTTAACAATGACAACAACAAAAAGAAGTTTGTCGTTGCATATCTTTGACTCACACAGCATGTATATACAACCTTCCCACAGGACTGATTAAACTGAGCCTCCCTGTGGAGAGTTAAAGGTGCAGTCAGCTTTGCAATAACTAACGGACGGGTGAACCGTTTCCCTCGTCACTCGACCGGTACAGCCATCAGCACAGCCCTCTCCAAGTGGAGACACTTCAAAGCACTTGTATCCCTTTTTTGTTAATATATGCATACAAATGCAGATTCACGGTGGCATTTGAGCCTGATTTATCAGACTTCTCCAGTCTACATGTCCCCAGCAGGACTCTGTAGTAAGGATTAAAGGCTATAACATCTGGAAAAGGTCATTTCGCTGTCTTTCTGTGCCTTTTTCCCCAGATAAATGCCAGATACGAGCTTCCCTGGCTTCTTTTATTAAAACATTTGCTTGTCTTGCGGATGTGAATAGCTTTTATGCCATTTGAATAGTCCCTCATTTTAACCAGTATGAGCTCCTGCTTTTTACTGCACCATGTGTCTGTCTTCTCAACCTGCTGTAGTCACTGAGGGCCCTTGGACTATGTTCAACAGGCGTTTCATTGCTGGTTTAAAATCTCTACCTTCCAGCTGCATATCGCTGCTTTTTGTTTTTTTTGGTTTCATACACAATGGAAAATCAGTTTTGAATATGTCTCAAAGAGACAGGTTTTTTTTTTTTTTTTTTTAATGAGATTTCTGTTTACTCAACGTTGTTTTCAGTTGGCAAATATTATTTGAACAGCTTGGTTATTATGAAGCGGTGCTGATAGGTTTGACGTTCTTGGTTCTTCTCTGTGCTTCTCATTGCTTTATGATTTGCATTGAACAGTATAGGTCTTTCACACCCAGTGAAATGTGTGTTGTAACAGCTTTTATTTGTTGTTTCGATGGGGTGCTGCTGGAGCTGAGAGGTCTGTTCCGTCATTGGTGTCGCATCAATAGGGATGTACAATGATTCTTTGCTTTCCACAAGCCGGCCACGTTTATTTACATACTTACATAAACTGTATTTTGTTTAATTTGGACGAACTGAAACCACATACAGTGTATTTGAATTAGGGGCACTTTTTGTTTTAAAGACAAAGACTGAAAAGAACATCAGTGCCTGGTTGCTTAACAGTACAGGAGTGTTCATTCATCATAAAGGTCTTTCTACCAAACCCCACATCTTGAAACATGTGCTCATCATAACTACTTATACTCTGACCAACACTTCAGACCTTTAGCTGCCCTCAAGACAGGAAGGCTGGGGTCATTAAAGGTCACTGGTTTAACTTGGCATTCTCTTTATATCCCTCTGTAAGCTCGTAGCTTTGTCGTTTTGTCAAACTGCAAAAATAAATAACTAATAATTAATAAAGGTTCACCAAATGAATGGACTACAGGCCTGCACTATGAAGCAGATTCAACACACCCAGGATATCTTTATTGTAATGTGGCTTCACTAAGCCTAACAACCACTAAGCGGTCACACAAAGCTCATCACTAACTCCTTAAATCAACCCAGGACTTCTGAACTTGACTATGAGCATGTTCACATAAAAGGGCCGGTGTTGGCACCAGGTGACCAGTCACAAACACTGAGAGGTGTTCATTTACAAGAACAAACTATAATCCTGAGCCAATATGAGGAATACAAAAATACAATACAGGCTGAAAGTAACACAGCGGCTGCAGCCAGTACCAGGAAGAAAAGCTGGTAAAATGTACTGCTGACTGTGTTCATGTTCATCAGTTCATCAGCTTGTTAAAATCACTGCTCCATCATTAAGACATGAGGAGATCTGTCTATAATTACAGCTGTGTGTTTAAATATATGAATGTGTTGCCCAGATGTAACTTATTTCTACGGCATGTAAGACAGTTGTGACCATATTCTTTCAGCTGTAGCCCTGGCAGTGTTAAACATTCTTTAGAGTAAAAAAACCCAAATCTAAACATAATTTAAAACAATAGACAGTAGACTCACAGCAGCTCTCGTAGGGCCAACATGTACACGACTTTAATGCTTTGTCAGTCTCTGCTTTAGGCTAATATTGCTATACTAAGGTCAATAGAAAAATATGGTGTGAAAAGGTCTTTCTGTCAACAGGAAAGAAATTATGCAGAGAAGA